GGAAGTTGGTGTCCGAGTGGATCGAGGTCACGATAGCTCCTGGTAGAGCAGCGGCGTATCTAGCCGATGATCGTGGGTTCGAATCTCGCTCGTACCATTGACTTTTTTATCTCAACTAAAAACCTTAATTAAATATAGTTATGTTTAAATAAAACAGCCTTTTCTCCGAATCGCAACAAGGGACCCAGATTACTCGCTACCGTGCTCAAGAAGCACAATTCCCATATCAGGTGGCATTCCTGCGCGCTTTCTGTATGGAGCCAAAGAATTCCCTTCGATTAGATAAGACACATCGAGCAACCTTTCTGTACATGTCAGATATATACGCGGACTTTGGCCCAAAAGAAAATGTGTGTGTCAACCTCGTATGGTCTATCGTTTGGTTCAAATGAAAAAGCTAGTGTCACGAGCGGGATTCGAGCCCACGACCTTCGACATGAAATGAAGTAATGAAATTTCATGAACCCGCTCGTGATACTAGCTTTTCCATCTCAACCAAAACCTTAGATAAAAAGTACAATTAATTAAAATAATTAGTACGGTCAATTATGACTACTAAATACATGTATGGATCGAACAATTTAATGTTTTCTTAAACTCGGCCATGCGTAGTAGTAAAAGTCTGTTTTTAAAGATTTTGAATTTTAACTTACCTTATCTATTCGATCATAAATTTATAGCAATATTTATCCTCATTTGTATGTCTTCAATAAAATATGTTTTCTTTTCGATTTGAATTTTTTTCCTTGCAATCTTAACTGCCGTATTTTCTGTCGTGTAAATAGTTACTTCTTGGATACTAGAAAATCCTGCATTCTTCTAGAAACTTCCCATATCGTAAAAAGATAGTGAGGGTGCTGAATCGTCTTGTTATTTATGCTGGTGGGGGTTTTTCCTGTTTTCAGGCCCGTCGATTTTTGTCTACAAAAGACTTCTAACCGGGGCGTAAACAAAATACTCCAGCCCTGATCCTGGCCATTTTCCATCTATAAATTTGTTTCGTGTCAGATTTTCATTTTAAAAAACTTTCTTTTCATACAAGCATTAGTTCACAACTCGGCATGGTTTTCCCAGTGGAGAATAAATATGAATAATGCATATGTAAATTTGCACCGGGGCATTGTGAGAGGACGAAAGAGATTCCGGGCCAAATAAAATACGTTCGGAAGGCTTAGGCGCCGGAAGATAGTGGGAGGGAGATATTTTTGTACGCATCTTTTATGGTAAAATATCAAATCTATGACAAGGAATAACTTCGACCGTCATAAACAAGCTACATCCACAAAATCTCCCAGGTAACTTGTCACGCTAAACCAGATTATAGTCATTAGGACAACAATGATTTTTCCCTACCGAGTTTCTTAGGCATAAACCATCTTTTGTACAACCTGCGGTTGGTTGAAAGTATCGACAAGATTTTACAATAAATATTACTTTACAAATAAAATACTTAAACAATAAACAGTTGGACATATTTTCCGAACTTAAAAAATATGAAAAAACGTAAACATGCCAGGATTTGTTCTACAAGGTAAATTATTTGTCAAACTGACAATTATTTAAGCCTATATTTAACACCAACGCTCTAAATGCTTCAAATATAAACTATTGTAATAAACAATGAAATATGATTATTTTGGAGTAATTTATTGGGGGAGAAGGTCTTCACGTATAGGACGAGGCAAAATACCTTACAGGGGGGCGTCATTGGCCGCAACGGTTTAGGCGTTGACACGGCGCTCATCACTGTAAGGTAAAGGTCCCTGGTTCGAATCCAGCGGCCCTGCATTCGAACCCGATGTACTTACAAATGGGCTTTTTGTCAATAACACCGGCACCCTGAGGGTTTATATGACCTCTGATGTTGCGAACCCTCGGAAAAAAAAAGTTGAATATCTTTCGATCTGTTCTTGCATCATGCTCGGTACAATTCAATTTTATTATACACAAATAGATCAATATAGATACTTTATTTTTTACCCGTTATAACTGACTTGGAAAAGGAAGTCTTATGAATTAAAGATTCGTTCTATGCAATAATTTCCAATTTTACCTAACGTCAAAAAAATACACTAAGCCTGTTATTTATGTAGGTATGTTACAGTAATTTACTAATTCAAAATTCAAAAAATATCTACAATACAATAGCGTATATGCAATACAGTAATATTACTAATTCAAATTAATTATTCTGTTTTTCTAAGGTTTTTGGTTGTGATGAAAATTATAATTAATACGGCTAGGGTCATTTCACGTGCTAAGCTTTAATTTGTCCTTTTAAAATTTTTAATTTGGAAGACCAAATGTATGCATGTATGCAAAAATCCCATTTTAAATTGTAAAATTTTTTCCTGTTCTTTAATTAGAATTTTGAACTTTTGTTCCATAATTTAAACATTTCCCATAGGCTTGTATGGCCAATAATACTAATAATAATAATGGAGTCAGACTAGCAACAGTCCCAGCATGAGTACAGGCTCATCATTATCCTTTTATTCTTCCATTCAAATATAATAAGCAAACTAATGCTACTTAACAATAATGAAAAACAACCTTTGTTTTCCGCTCGGGCAGCCAAGTTGGAAGGCTATTGCTTATTTAAAGAATTAATAAATTATAATTAATTAAAAAGAATAATTAATTGGAATAATTAATTTGGCAAATTATGACCACTAAGGAAGTATGTATTAATTTAATATTACTAATATACATAAATTTATATATATTTTATTATTTATTATTATTATTATTAANACTTTGAGCCCTGAAGATGATCTCAATAAAAGATCGAAACGTTGGCACGATAAAGAAAATGTTTTTCTGAAACCTACATCACACCCGACTGCATCTCACGATATCTGAATAACCATAAATTTATGTATATTTTATTATTATGCCCTAACATCCAAACCTTGTATGTATCTTAGGTTAGCTATACCCTTCTGAGTGCTATAAAGCTCTGACTCCAAACATTCTCTCATAAACTAATTTATCCTATTGCCATCCAAGCTTAATTTATCCTTTTAAAATTCTTAATTTGGAACACCAAATGTATGTCAAAATCCCATTTTAAATTACATATAAAATTTATTCCTGTTTTTTTTATTAGAATTTTGAATCTTTGTTCCATAATTTAAACATTTCCCATAGGCTTGTATGGCCAATAATAGCAACTCATCCTTATTCTTCCATTCAAATATGATAAATAAACTAATTCTACAAATAATAAGAAAAGAAATTTTGAGGGAGCTACCTTTCTTATTTAAATTGCGATTTTGGGCATTGCAGTTTATTACTCCGCAATTTGTATTTTCTTCCATTTCATTTTTCCACTTCGGTAGCCTCAAAAATTCCTGAAAAAAGAAAGAAATCTTGCACATACAACTTTCATTCAAACATTAGTAGGCAAACATTCAATGGTATAACAATTGGGAAAAGGCCTAAATCTCATTATAAATTTGAGAAAGGTGAAAAGTGCTCTTCGAAAGGAACAATGGGTACCCAGTAACTCCTGTAAATCACTCGAAAGGTTGAGCCTTTGCCTAAAGGGTTGCAAAGTGCGAAGTCGACCAAATTATGTTTTACTGTCAGAATGATACTTTCTCCACTTTATTATTTATTTATTTTCTTTATTATAATTAATAAATAATAATTAATTGGAATAATTAATTTTGCCAATTATGACCAATAAGGAAATGTATTAATATAATATTACTAATATACATAAATTTATATATATTTTATTATTATTTTTATTTATTTTTATTTATATTATCTTATTATTTATTATATATGTACTACATAACATTATCATACATTATATTATATATAAATAAAATAAAACCNTAATTTAATATTACTAATATACATAAATTTATATATATTTTATTATTTATTATTATTATTATTAATCATTTTTAAGGGCGCTTTAAGGGCTAGGGTCATTTCACACCCATTTATCCAAACCTTCTATCTTAGATTAATTAAGGGTTTTATTTGAGATAAAAAAGTCCGTGTCACGAGCGGGATTCGAACCCACGACCTTCGGCTAGATATGCCGCTGCTCTACCACTTGAGCTATCATGACTTCGATCCCATCTCGGGCGTTAGAGTAGCGGCATATCTAGCCGAAGGTCGTGGGTTCGATTCCCACTCGAGACACTGACTTTTTTATTTCAACTAAAAACCTGAATTAATTGAAAGATATTAATTGGTCAAGCGGACCATGAAAAATAGTGAACTTCTATCTTAGGTTAGCAATATTCCTTCTGGGGGCTACAAAGTACTGACTCCAAACATTCCTCATAAACTGATCTCTCCTATTGCCATCCAAAGCTTTAATTTGTCCTTTTAAAATTCTTAATTTGGAAGACCAAATCTATGCACGTATGCAAAAATCCCATTTTAAATTATAAAATTTATTCCTGTTCTTTAATTAGAATTTTGAACTTTTGTTCTATAATTTAAACATTTCCCATAGGCTTGTATGGCTAATAATAATAATTAAGTCTAGCAACAGTCTCAGCATGAGTATAGGCTCATCATTATCCTTTTCCTTCCTTTCAAATATGATAAGTAAACTAATGCTACTTAACTTAACTACTTAACAAAAATGAGAAACAACCTTTTTTTTCTGCTCGGGCAGCCAAGTTGGAAGGTTGTTGCTTATTAAAAGAATTAATAAATTATAATTAATTGAAAAGAATAATTAATTGAAATAATTAATTTGGCAAATTATGACCACTAAGGAAGTATGTATTAATTTAATATTACTAATATACATAAATTTATATGTGTAGAGATTAGTGACCGTTAATCAATAGTTATTCAGATATCGTGAGATGCGGTCTGGTGTGATGTAGGTTTCAGAAAAAATTTTCTTTATCGTGCCAACGTTTCGATCTTTTATTGAGATCATCTTCAGGGCTCAAAGTGTTTGTCTTCTTTTATTTTTATATATATAATATATAATTATTAATTATATATATAATTGAAAAGAATTAATTTGGTCATGTGGACCACGAAACCTAATAACATTTTTTATATATGTTTGTCAATTATTTTCATCCATTAGAAGTTGGTTTCAAGCCGTCATCATTAAAATCCCATTATTAGATTTATATGGTTTGGAGAAATGTAAATAGTATTACTTGTTATTGTTTAATTGAACTTGGGTCTTTTTGTTTCAGCATGGCTCGGTGCTATGTCTACAGCTGTGGCACTTTTTGTCTCACCGGTGACGATAGCTTTCTGCCGGAGGAAATCAACAAGACTCACAGCTGTCATGGGAGGACTTGTCACAGCCCTTGGCTGCCTCTTTACATCTTTTGCATCACAGTTCCATCAATTGTTTATTAGTTATGGAGGAGTTTTAGGTAACTTGAAACTTCTCGTTAAAAATTCTTCGGTACTCAAGAGCATTACTGTTCCAGGTATAGGTGTTAGTATGACAAGAGACTGTTCTACCCTGATGGTAGCTCAATATTTTAAAAGGAGAAGAGAATTAGTAGAAATATTTATAGTTTCTGGGAGTGGCCTTGGTATAGCTGTTATGTCAATTTTTATGAAAAGTGCTATTAGGTATATTGCCGCTTCATATCCGTTTGTCTAGAAGTCGAATAATTTCCATTTTTAATTCCAGCGCTATCGGGTGGAGGCTGGGATTACAATTGGTCACAGTCGTTGTGTTTATGACCTTCTTCCTCGGCACTTTCTACAGATCGGCCTCTCTCTACCATCCGCAGAGGCGAGCCATCCTCCACCTGAAAAACCAAAAGAGGAAAATTAAAGACAAAAATAAAGTCGACGATGGACCACCTTTTTTTGATTTGACAACCCTAAGAAGCAAAACAGTGAGAATACTCCTTGTTTCAACAGGAATCAGCGCATTCGGGCTGAACACCCCAATTTTTTATTTGGTAAGGGCATAGTGCCACATGGCCATTTATCTTTCAATGTAAAGAGATAAAAATAATTACAGCAAAATGAATTTTTAACAAGGTCACATATCTAAACTAAAACTTAAAAATAGATTTTAAAAAATAAGATAAATGTAAATAACCAATATTTTACTTAAAATAATAAGAAACAATTATATAATTCAATTCATTATTTTCTTTTTTAATAAACAAATGGTTTGATTAAATAAATCATTTGACATTATTTTCAGGCTCACCATGCAGAAGAAGATGGGTTGGGCGATTCTGTCCTCCTTTTTCAAACATATTTGGGTCTCGCTTGGGCTTTGGGATGCTTTATATTTGGGATGCTTGTTCTCCATAATACTGCCGAATGTAGGATCGCAAGGCAGTACCTCTGTCAGGTGTCTGTGTTCATGTGTGGTATAGCAATATTCGCACTGACATCGCTTAACAACAACCACCAAGGGTACGTACTTTTCACATGGATCTACGGGATCTTTTGTGGTGGGTACAACTACTCGCTCAAGATGTACACGTACGAGAGGGTGAGAGCAAGAAATTTTGCTAGAACATGGGGTTTCGTGCAGTGTTCACAGGCTATCCCAATAGCTCTTGGCGTACCGATAACTGGTATTTATTTCACTCCTAAAATTTGAACAATAATTTGAAAAGATTAATTTTTTTTTCTAGGTTATATCAATGTCACTTGGGGAGGAAAATCAGGCTATTATTTCAGCGCTTCTTGCATTTTCCTTGGTACTCTTGCTTTATTTTTAATTGATTGTCATAAGAGGAGGTTGTCGAGGCACAAGCATAATGAAAGCGGTGAAAAGAAATTGTGTGAATCAGAATCCTGCCCACAGCGTAGAAAACCTTCGTTTTCAGTCGAGCCAGAAGAATTGGTAGTAGTCGAGCCACCAGCACAAGCTGCGGACAAACCGGAGCTCACCTGTATATCTGAAGAAGGCATTGCGGACATGGACCTTCCGGACAACATCCTTGATGACCTCGACTACATCGGGGACTGCATAACGTCATGCAACAAAGTTGAAAACTACCTGATGCTCAGTGAATTTGAAAACAACCTCATTGCAGAAATGCCCGTTATAATGGACCGTAAAGGCAGGAGGTGGTCTCTTGCGAGGCAAACTGAAGAAGAAAACCCAAAAGGAAAATGGCGCCTGATACCGGGCCCAAATAGAGTAATCACAGTTATTGATGAGGCATCAGTTTAAAGACAGTAACTTGTCCCACTATCACCATTTCATTGTGATGAATATTATCATTTTTTTTAAATAGTAATAAAATATGCCAAAGATAATAAATGTATAGAGATTAGTAACTTACCTCACTTCAAGAAAAAAATTATATATTTTTTTCATTTCTAAAAACTGAATATTCTCACTGCCAATTAATTACGGATAATAAAAATCAATTTTTTGCAAAGAAGGAATTGTGGTGCTTCGAAACATTATAAACAAATTTAAACTGCCAAAATTTATATTATTTTTTAAAAAGAAAACTATTTACTATTTCTAAATGAGTGCCATCTCAATTTATAAATAATGTAAATTTTCTATTGATAAAATGTATCACATTATTTATTCCTGTAGTATTAATTAAATGTCTGTAAATACAATAAATGGTTTACTGTATATTTTAGATATTTATTATTTATTTATTACTTAAAAATGGATATAAGTAGGTGGCAGGACTGAAAATAAAATTGGCATTTTTCAGAAAACAAATTATAACAATAATAAATTTATTATACCACAACTTACAAGTTTAAAATTATTCTATTTGCCCATTGTACATTTCAATTTATAGATTGAAAATTAATATATATGTTTGTAAAATATAGCCGAAAAAAATTCTGCAAAGAAAAGGCCAAATTTTTTTCCAATCATACCAACTTGTAATACTCTGTCTATAGGATTTTAACTTTTATATTTTCACATATTTAATGTAAATAAAATAATAAAAGAGCTGGTATAGTTTAATTTGTGAAATTTAGCTAAGTGTTACATTGTAAATAGCCCATAGAAATTGTTATGACAAAAACATACATTTTATATAGATTTTTATAATGTGTATAGTATTCTTATGTATGTCTATTCTAAATCAACAATATTTATAAAATTTATAATGCAATTGCAAACATGCAATAAGGAATGTTTTACCTAGTCGTCAAGGAAAAAAGGTGCATAGATCTAATTTAATTCAAAGCAAAACGTTATTTTATGAAAAAACACTTTTAAAAAAAAGTAATAATCAAAGGAATGACATTCAGAAATGACAGCGCTTTTCCTTTAGACGTAAAATTAGAGATATTTTTATATTTTTCATTTCAGAGACAAAAATTTTTATATCTCCACTTAATTTTTCAAAATCAGAATTAGAGGCCTTCTGCTTTTTGCATCTGTCATTTAATATATGATTTGTTAAATGTAAAACCATTTTATGGATTTTGTTTCATTTATGGGGAGGGTCGACTGAGAAAAGTGTGATTCTAGAAAAGAAACGTCCGTTTTTTCATGAAATCTATTTAAAACTATAAAAAAAATCTATTATTTTTTGTACGGGATATATAGAAGAATAATGCCAGAAGTAATTTTGATGTTTGTACGTTACCTTTGGAATAACATTTTAGGAAAATTGTTTTGTTTTTAAAATATAAACATGTACTTATATGTATTTTATTTACAATCCACTGACCTTTTGTGTTTTTTTTTCATTATGAATACAGCAAATGAATATTAACCTTATGTACATTATTTCAGTTCTTGCATTTATAACCTACGTACATACAATCAGTCATGTTTGTCTTGTTTCCTTCAATTTTTTTAGCATAATTAAGGAAAGAAATTTCAATGTTATCTGGTTAATCCAAGTGACACATCTGAGGATCTCTGACTCTATAAAAAGAACAATTATAAAATACATATAAAAAGTTCCTTTATAAAATTTAAATATTTACCGCATAGATATGTAATGTGTACCAACGAAACAAGGCCGTCAGTCTTACGATCACACATACTTGATGAAATACTGCTGATTAGTGATTTCAAATCTGAATCCTTGAGCCCTTTCAAAATTATTGAATAAGGTGAAACGCTAGGGTTCACAAAACCAACCTGAACGAAACATGAAAATCTGATTCATTTCACATTCATTAAGGAAGGTGTATTAACGAGTTTACCTTTTCAAATAAATGACCAAGGATAAAGATGACACCGACGTTAAACTGTGTCAACAATGGAAATCCCTTCAAAATTAAATCATCTCCAACTTCTAATTTTTCACAGGCACTCATAAACTTTTCAAAAAAACATTTCTGACATTCATTATAGTTTTCGGTCCATGAAAAGTCATTTGTGTCAATGGCATTTTTGCAGATAAACTTGTCAAGACTGAAAATGAAATTAGAAAAAAAACATCAGCATAAAAACAAGAATGAAATGAGTAAAATCGCAACATAATTCAAAGATAATTAAATTACACACTCTAACTGGTCTGGGATATCTATTTTTACCCCAGTCTCCAGACATAATTTCACCAATTCGGTGTATATAGCGAGAAGATTTCCTTTGCAAAATTTTGAAGTCCTGACTTTTTCAATTGGTTTGCCAAATTTCAAATTTAGTTTTATTTTAGAATTTGGACTAAAAGTGAACCAAAAAATATCTTCAACGTCCCAGTCGGTCTCAACGAGGTCCAATTTCCCCTTGTAAAAGTCCAACATGGCTTTCGTGTCAAGTTGTTTGAACATCTTCCTCTCGAGGAAAGTCCCGCTTTCATCTCTTGGAAATAGGTTCAGGCAAATTGCATCAGCCTTAAAGTAAAATTTCTTTTGGAATGAAAGGCATATAAATATATTGAGTCAGTCTCACTCACATCCTGATCGTGAACAACAAAATCTTTAGGACTAATTGGTCTTATTTTGTACTTCTCGATGAATAGATTAGCAGTACTGTCTCTGATGTCCATCAACTGTAGACGACTCCTTTTCCTCTTGTGTTGATGTTTGTATGTCTCAATGTTTCTTTCTATAACTGAGGTCTAAACAGAAAGAAAGAAGAAAAAATTATAATTTTTAAAAAACATGAGGTAACAATTTTAATACACATATTTCATTATAAAGTTTTAAATGACGACATTTATTTTTCTAAAATCTTACTTGGATTAACTTAAATTTTGTAGCACAATTTATTATTTCTTGTATGAAGAAATCGGGTATATCGTTCCTTGAAAATAATGCTTCTTTCATTTCTTTGTAATAGTAGACATTTAACTTTTCCAAAACAGGCACATGGTCCTTTCCTTTGTAACCCAAACAAACAACGTAAACTTCTGAATTTCCCTCCTTGCTTGTGACAGGCTTGAAAACGTTTATGTGCGTGAAGCAACATCTGAGAAGGTACATCAAGCAGACAGTATCACACTCAAACATTGTAAATGTTTTTAGCAGAAAACTTCCTCCTACAAAAAAAAAATAAATAAAAAAAATAAAATAAAAAGTTATTCAGATATCGTACCCGACTGCATCTCACGATATCTGAATAACTATCGATTAACGGTCACTAATCTCTACACATAAATAAAAAATAAAAATAAAATAAATAAAATAAAATAAAAAAATTATACAGTGTAACACCAAAGAAGTATATTTTCACTACCTCTTTCAAGAATGTTCAGAGCACAGACTGTTTCAGTAAAATGAAGGTGTACAACTTTTTTCTCTTGTTCTGCTGGATCACTGAGACAATCAATGCTGCCATCAGCAGTAACCTAAAATTAAAACTACTTGAAGAAAACGATATGATGAAGGTTTATATATATATTTCTTTTTTTAACTTACCAAGTACACAGGATGAAGAAATTTTGTCTTTTCTATAAGACTGCTTAAATAATTGTCACCGTAGACATTTCCTGTTTCATCATTACCAAACCACCAATTTTCAAGTGTATTGATTATAAAGCGGTCATCGTTAACCATATGCTGGAGATCATTGCCTTCATAATATGGATTAAGAGTAGTTGCAAACCATTTCCACTGAAATGTTCTTAAATTAAATTATCTCACTAAAATGCATGTGGGGTAGCGAACCTCTATTTCAGGGTGGTTCAGTTTAAGAAAATGATTCAACGAAGCGATAAAAGCTCCAGGGGCCTCACAGAGGTGAACGCTGTTCAGAAGTTTTTTCTTCAAACATTGTTTAGGAATCAATTTATACCTGCTCACTACCTCGTAAAATTTGCACCAGGCCTTAAAATGAATAAAGTTGAAATAAAACAGTGATAAAAGTTTAAGGTAAAGTGCTACCTGTGTGAGAAATTCAGGTTGGAACTTCCTCAATGATCTCATAACCGTTCCGGCATAGTTATTCTTTCTGGTATGATCGTGCCAGTCAGCAAGATTGTAGCTATTCAGCTTTGACTTGACTCCATTTAACTCTTCTTTGAGTTTCTGCAGCGTTTCAACCTGTTGCAATTTCCCTCCAGTTGATTTAACAGAACTTGTCAATAAAATATTACCATCGTAATATTCATTGCAATTGTACAACAGATTGTATCATAACTACAAACTTCATCAGATTGCATAAAATGTTAACAATTATGTAGAAAATATTCAACGTGTGGTGAGTGAACAACATAATGTTAAGTTTCAAATTTTTACTGCTTTGAGCAGTTTGACCATCCATCCTGGTTCTCATTAGAAGAGATTAACTAACAACATGAATGAACATTATGGAATGGTTTTGTGCCTAGCAAATATTTAATACTTGTACTTATAAATACTTTAACTGTGATTAATTTGCAACTATAAACTTTAATGATCAACAAAAACCATATAATGTATTCAATGTAGTATTCAATGCCTAGAAATTAAAAAATAATGTACATATACAGTAGACTCCTTATCCACAAGGATACATACAAAACGTCACTACAGATAACAGGAAACACCTCAAATTTCAGGCTTCGAAGAATTTTCACACTTTCTTATCTTGTGTGCTTTTCGTCAATATTATGTATGAACTTATCTACACATATTTCAGTATTTTTCAATGCAGGAAAACAATATGTACATACATATAGATACATACTGATATCAGTATGATCTTCCATGATTATCCTGGTCTGATTGTTCTTATTAAGTTGATCAGAGTCAGCTCTAGGCAAAAATGATAGGAATCAAAACATGGTTTGTTATGGAATTAAATGCTGTTGTGTAAAATTTTGAGATAGATTTGGACAAATAATAGCAAACTGATTTAACCAATTTTATTATCGATAAAAGTAGTCAACTAGAAGCAAAAATTTTAGGAATCAAAGTATGATTTGTTATGTAATTAAATACTGTTTATTTTTTAATTTTTTTTATTTTTTGTGATAGATTCAGACAAATAATAGCGAACTGTTTTAAGTATTTATTTATTGATACCAATCTATTTTGAGGCCACCAATCTATTGAAAAATCTACAAAATTATTTTACAACGTAATATGTTATGAAATGGTTTTGGCATTTAGCAAATATCTGAGAATAATCAGTATGATCTTCCCTGATTACCCTGGACTGATTGCTCTTATTAAGTTGAGCAGTAGGCAAGTATAAGAAAAAATTATAGGAAACAAAGCATGATTTGTTTGTAATTAAATATTGTTTATTTTGTTTTGTTTTGTTTTCAAAATTATGAGTTAGATTCAGACAAATAATAGCGAACTGTGCTGAATATAATCAGTATGATCTTCCCTGATTGACTTGGTCATTATGTTGAGCAGAAGTAAAGTAAATGCAAAATTAATAGGAATCGATTTATGATTTGTTATGGAATTAAAGGCTGTTTTGTAAAATTTTAAGATAGATTTGGACAAATAATAGCGAACTGATTTAACCAATTTTATTATCAATAAACAGTAGTCAATTACAAGCAAAAATTTTAGGAATCAAAGCATGATTTGTTATGTAATTAAATACTGTTTATTTTCTTTTATTATTTTTTTTTTTAATATTTTTAGATAGATTCAGACAAATAATAGCAAACTGTTTTAAGTAATATATTTATTGATACCAATCTATTTTGAGGCCAATCTGGCTCGCCTCTTCAGGGTTTGTTGGAGTAATAAAATTGAATTATTGAAAAATCTACAAAATTATTTTACAACATAATGTGTTATGAAATGATTTTGGCGATTGGCAAATATCTGAGCATAATCAGTGTGATCTTCCCTGATTACCCTGGACTGATTGCTCTTATTAAGTTGAGCAGTAGGCAACTATAAGAAAAAAATTATAGGAAACAAAGCATGATTTGTTTGTAATTAAATTCTGTTTTTTGTTTTGTTTTAATTTTGAGTTAGATTCAGTCAAATAATAGCGAACTGTGCTGAATATAATCAGTATGATCTTCCCTGATTGACCTGGTCTGATAGTTCTTATTATGTCGAGCAGTAGTAAAGTAAATGCAAAATTGATAGGAATCAATGTATGATTTGTTTAGGAATTAAATACTGTTTTTTTCCCCAAAATTTGTAGATAGATTCGGACAAATAATAGCAAACTGTTTCAACCAATTTATTTATTAATGCCGACCTTTTTCTGGGGTAACCTGGCTCACCTCTTCAGGGCTCGTTGGAGTAATAAAATTGAATTATTGAAAAATCAAATATCTACAAAATTATTTTACAACATAATATGTTACGAAATGGTTTTGGCGTTTAGCAAATATGTGAACATGATCATTATGATCTTCCATGATTATCCTTGACTGATTGTTCTTATTACGTTGAGCAGTAGTAAACTAAATGCAAAAATGATAGGAATCAAAGCATGATTTGTTATGGACTTAAATACTCTTTTCTTTTGAACATTTTGAGTTAGATTCAGACAAATAATAGCGAACTGCTGCAACCAATTTATTTATTGATGCCGAATCATTTCGAGGCAAATCTAGCTCCCCTCTTCAGGGCTCAACGCAGTAACAACCAGCTCATAAACATAAAACACATGAAGGATAAAATTGAATTATTTAAAAATCAACAAAATTATTTTACAACCTAATTCATTAAGAAATGGTTTTGGCAATTAGTAAATATCTCAACATAATCAGTATGATCTTCCCTCAATACCATGGTCAGTTTGTTCTTATTCAGTTGATCTGTAGTCAACTACAGGCATAAATTACAGGAATTAAAGCATGATTTACATGTGTTTTTTTAATTAATAGGTAGATTTTACAGTATATTGCCAATTAGCTTTGTTATGTTATTAAGTACTGTTTTTGTCAAAGTTTTTAAAACTCACCTCCCATTTTCCATGCGTGAAGAGCCCATCCTGGCTTGGAAATGTGGAAGGCCTTTTGTTCGAAAACTCGAAACATTTTGAAAAACCGTTCTCAACCACTTGCCAAACATTGTCTCTGTTCCTGTTCTTGTACGAATTTGGATCTTTTTCCGTTTTTGACGAACCGAACGAAACTGGCAGCGCGTCGAACACATTCATTTTTAATTAATTGTTTTTTTTTTTTTTTTTCAATTATAACAAATTTATAATTATGTTGAAAAAGAATCAACTATATTTAACTGTTGATCAGTTATCAATTCAAAAACATCCCTTCAGACGCAATTTGAAAATAACCTCACGACTGTTATATTTATATGATAAGAATATATATAAACTCAATGGAATAAAACAGTAATCCTTAATTTCGCAATTTTTAATCCTTAATTCGACTTAATAAAAAATTATTTTTTTATTAATTATCAAGCGAATTTAATTTATTTCATGAGTAAAGTTGTCATTAACGGTTAAAAGCGTTGGTTACACTGTAAATAAGCACGGCGCGGCTATTTCGCAGTACAAAGGAGGTTTCATGTGCTGGCTATTGTTGAACGACTTGATTTCATGAAACTTCTAAACCATTTCACTGTTTTACACGCATTATATTTTAATTAAGAATCGTTTTTCAATTGGGAAAAGATGGAAAATCCACCTTCACATATAAACGCACTCGAGGTAAAAAAAATACATTAATAATAATAAATTTCTCTCACCCAGTTTGAACAATTTTGATTGAAATCACTCTTGCATCTTTTGTCAGTGTTTTAATCAGTACTGGTCATTACTGTGTTCGTCCGTTCTGTGTCTTTACCATCCAGAGTTGTGAGAACACTACTTTTAAAGTGCAAGAAGTTTAAAATTCGTTGCATTTAAGCCTCAGTACTATCCAAATTTAAGCACTAATTATTCATATATTTCTTTCTACTTGGTGACGCATTGGGCTTAAAAGACTTAATCTTTTCAAATAAATGTGTACGTTGAAAAGAAATTGTATTAACTTGTTGTTTATCATTAAGAATTTACTAGAGAGAGAGGGAATGAATGTGCAAGAGAGAAAGAGAACAGACAGGCAGGTCTTGAAAGTCTCTCTCCTGAGCTCTATTGTGAGAAAGAGGTCTTTGTGAAGGACTTGGACCCGTTTGCGACCTTGCACCTTCCTGCTGAATCATCAACATTCGCCCACTGCTCCTCATGCTGCGCCATATTTATCTCCCTAGTTACTTCTGCAGCGTATCAAAGGCAGTGAGAAGAAGTCATATTTATAGAAAGAAACAAACAAGTTGACCAACTAGCCAAGAAATGGGCAGCTTTCTCATTTGTGGGCCTGGATCTACAACTAGATGCACCTGAGGTGTTTTAAACTTGTTACATGGGCGCATCATAAGTTGCATGGTTCAGGTGCTTACACAGTGCTCATAACTGTAAGGTAAAGGTCCAGGTTTGCATCCAGCAGCCCTGCATTCGAATCTTCCTCACGTACCACTCGATATTTATTGCCATTTGTGCTATTTTGTTTTGTAATACTCGCAGCTGCTTAATTTTGGGTGAAGACGCTGTTCCCCATATTTCACACCCATAAAGGACTAGGGGTCTTATAATAGATTTATAAATTAACATAGCAAGTTATTCAGAAATCGTGAGATGCAGTCTGGTGTGATGTAGGTTTCAGATAAACATTTTGTTTATTGTACCAACGTTTCGACCTTTATTGAGATCATCTTCAGGTGTTCTCAAAGTGCTTGTCTTCTGTGTAATTGTGCCATTCTTGCGTGTCGTGTTGAGAGTGCCCACTCTAAAGAACTGCTTTTTGAATCTCCAACACAACACACAGTCACTAATTACCACCCATAACATAGCAAGTTTGGGCCTAATCTTGAATTTGTGGTTTATAATAGAATACCGATAAGAGCACATCCTTCAGTCGCCTTTTTATTTGTGTGATACTGCCAGGATAGCCTTCTGTCCAGATGAACTCCTAGGTATTTCACAGAACTGTCCAGACGATGTAATTTCCATCAATTTGTAAGGCCGGTGGGTCGCATGTTCGTCGCAGGGCAAAGATTTTTGCTTCACACATTGAAGGGTTTATCTCCTGTTTCCATTTATCACAATATTTTGACGTATCCTCTAAAGAACTGCTTTTTGAATCTCTAAGATATCATGATTGGAAGTTTAATTGTGTGTGCACTGCTATGTTTACACCAACTGGAAAGGGAAGGTCATACATGAACAAATTAAACAGGATTGGTGAGAGGAATGATACTTGTGGGGTGCCTTGATGGATGTCTTTTTCTGTAGAGAAGCTGCCATTGACTTTGAACTTGAACTTCCTGTTTAATAGGAAGGCGCTTAAGATGTCATATAAGTATTTTGGGATACCTATTTCTTCCAGTTTGAATCTAAGCCCGTTATTTTCTATTTTAGCATTCAGATTATGTGTATTTCTATAAATTACAACTAATTCATAAATAAATATATGTTGTCTTGTGCTTATTTGCATTTTTTGATCAATAAACATTTTTAAAAATGGCAAATCAAGAAAATACTTGTATCTGTATTTTTTATTTCAGAATATTTTCTATTTCTAGCAATTTAAAAACTTTCCAATGGCTTTACTTAACTTATTTACTTGACTTGATTTAGTTTAGAACTATAAAAGTTTCAAATGCACTTTGTATTTAGCTTCTTTTTATCAGTGAACTCCAATTAATTATAAATACATATTATAAAAGGTTCATAAGAGGTTAATAATTAATTTGACAGTTTATGTTATTAATATGACTTTAAAACTTCTTCCATCTTTAATTAATTTATTTATACTGAACTACAACTAATTCACAATTATTGTTGTTAGGTAAAAAATTTAATCCGACTTTTTATCATTATTATTTTAATTGCAATAATTGCTTTTTATTATCAAATATACTAATGCTATATTGTAAATTTTTAGGAGTTTAAATTTAAATTATTATGCCAATTACAAATTTTTCCAAACGGGTCTGGTCCCAATTGTAAAACTCCATTGAGACTCGTCGCAACATCCAATAAATATGGCCTGGTATTCATCGGTGATAATCAAGGCTTTCAGTGTAAGATTACTATTACGTTAATTGCTACAATCGACATTGGTTAAAGTTTTGTTTTTCCTGCAGGTATACACACTAATTCTGTTATTTTATATTTTAAAAATGAATTCGCTTGCAAACGAGGAAAAATTGCTACTTATCCAAGGCGTCATGTTCCCCTTGAGTCCATACCGTCCCATTTAGATGTGAACAGCGATGGAGAGTTTCTTGCTGTGGTAACCACTCATCAGGATTGTCCCTTTCTTTACGTCTATAGCACTCAGTCTTTTGGAAGTGATGTACGTACTAATAGCTTTAATTTTATTGAAATTGCAATAATATGGTTTTAATTTAGGTGATTGAAAAGAAATTCCAAGTAACCCTTAGCAGTACGCAAGGGGTGAAAGTTCTTGACATCCAGTGGAACCCGGGTGTCGCAAACATGATTGGTATTGTGACTAGTGATGGAGCCGCGATGGTGTGTGAATTTACAGCAAACGGCCCGACAATCAATTCCATACCGGCAAACTCTCAATCCATGTGTTTGTGCTGGAGTCCTAAAGGGAAAAGGATTGTCATCGGTTCAAAAGGTGGATCTATTATGCAATACATGCCGGATATGAAAGTGGTGAAGGCAATTCCAACACCATCACTTCCTATGAAAAGCATCGATGTTATTTCAATAAGGTGGCTTTCCAACACACAGTACATTGTAGTATACAAAGACAATAAGGATCAATCCGGCAACACTGGTAAGATTGAAGAAACATTCATTTTTATTATATTTTCACTGTTTTCGTTGTGTTTTAGCTGTTATTGTAATAAATGTTCAGCAGAATCAACAACCACATTTTATCAATTATGAAGATCTCTGCTGTGGTACTTTGACAGAAAGGCCTGAGCATTATTTCATTCATATTCCACCGTGGTACTTATAAACAAATTCAGTTTTAACCTTATTCAAAAATTACAATTTAAAAAAATAAATAAAATATTAGCTATTAGAATACTGCAAATAAAACAAATCACTAAATGAATTTTCACATAATAAATGTTTCAGGAGTGTTATTGTTTTGGGGTGCGGAAATGCATTGGAGACAGCTGTTCTTAAGCAAAGTGGAGACTCCTGGGCACAGTGGATAATTGATGATGGTAACAGGGCTGAATTGCCATTGACAGAAGACCACTCGGATGTTTACAATGTGGGAATGGCGTTTGATTTCAGTTCCCAGTTCCCAGTGCCGATCGGTCCGTCTTTTTAATAAATAAGTAAACTCTGAATTTATTTTTATAATCTCAATGACAACTATGATTAGGCGAAAATCAGACAATTGACCCAGTGCCCCTTCTTTTGATGCTTTCTCATGCTGGTGTTCTGTGTCTTTTCCATTGCATAAATAGTGTACGTGATGCCCCCAAATTATGTTCAGAAAAGGAGTATTTGTCTCTGCATAATTTTGTAAACAAGGTAATCATTTTTGTCCTTATTTTTAAAATAAATTAAGTAAGAAAATTTTACTGAATTTAACAATTTCAGGCACCTGAAACATCCCAAAGGACAGATGCTCAACCAGCTGGGACCAATACTGGGACTACTGCTGATCTAGGCTATGTGGAAATGCCAACGTAGTCTTTAATAGTTTTTTTATATTTAAACAAACATTAGGATTTTATTTTCTAATGTATAGATTTTTCCTTTTTTGCAGACTCTTTAACACAGGGGCAACTAGATTACCAACAGGGCAGGCTACAGGAAATTTTCAAATGTCACAGCCGCCTGTAGGGCAAACATCGATGGCCTTTCAATTCCCACAATCGCCCATGGAACAGTCTTCGTTTGGTTTCCAGAGCACGTCACAGTCACAGCCCGTTCAGTTGAAAATACCTCAGCCTACTACTAGCGTGCCAAAATCCACCTCGTTGCAGTTTCAAGGTTCTCTTGGAGGATTTCAACAGGTGCCACAGAAAACGGATCAAATACAAAAACCAAATCTATTTAACCAGGCGCAAAATACAGCAACAGGTACAAGTGTGGCTGCCCCCGTGGCCACGTCACCGATGGTGCCCATATTTGGTTTAAATACTTCGAAAAACTCAAATAAAGCCTTAGGTATGTTAATTCATTTTTAAATAGAGAAGTTTTACTGGTGCGCGAATTTTTATTGAAGAGTTAAAATCATTAAGTATTCATCACTAGTGTGATAGATAATGAAACAAAATATTTTGAGAGAGCATTGTATAAATTGAAAGGAGCCATTTCTCCTCTTTATAATTTGAACTTGTAATGTTCACGTATTATTTACTTCCTTGCAGCCCAAGATTCTTCGAATTTTCTTTAATTTTTATGTTTGGTGGTTGTTTCATCATTGACAAAGGACAATTTTTGTAATTAATTTATTTGTTTTATTTTTTTAAATGCATAATACTGCCCTGCTAAGAAACAACAGCTAGGTCAATTCAGCACTTAACGCATGTAGTTCCAAACCCTTTCGTTCATTTGTAAAACATTCAATCCTATTTACATATTCATTCAATTAGGGTGATGTGGTACTCGATATTCCATCAGCTGTTGAGAGATTTTTTATTTTTGGAAGAGGCTTAAAAAGTTGATATTTGTACAAAAGAATTATCCATCAAATTTAAACAGTTTATTATATAGAGGGTAATTGAAAGAAAACATTAAAACTTGTTAAATTCACTAGTTTCGTGGTCCGCTTGACCAATTAATATCTTACAATTAATTAAGGTTTTTAGTTGAGTTAAAAAAGTCAATGGCACAAGCAGGATTCAAACCCACGATCTTCGGCTAGATACGCCACTGCTCTACCACTTGAGCTTTCGTGACCTCGATCCTCTCGGACACTAAATTCCCAGCTCAACCCCACCTTTTGAATTTTCCCTCCTTTAAGTAACCTGAAGTATACCTTCACGTGGCCATTTCATTTGTCGCCAGAATCAAATAGATTACACGACATTTTAAAAATGGCAAAAAGGAGGGAAAATTCAAAAGGTGGGGTTGAGATGGGAATTTAGTGTCCGAGTGGATCGAGGTCACGATAGCTCAAGTGGTAGAGCAGCGGCGTATCTAGCCGAAGATCGTGGGTTCGAATCCTGCTCGTGCCATTGACTTTTTTATCTCAACTAAAAACCTTAATTAATTGTAAAAAATTAAAACTTGTATTATTTTCCAGACAACCCAATAAAATAATGTTTTTTTTTTTTTTTTTAAATTTTTAAAACACATTAACTCTTAATAATTTGATTTTTTCCTTTCTTCTAACACTCGTTAATTGAAACTTTTGATAATTACTTTAATCATTATGCAAGTTTGCAAGTCTCTTGATAATACAAATTATTTTTGTAGTCCCATGGTCGAAAGACTGTATTTGGTTTGATCTAATCTGCAGAGATTAAATGAAATTCATTTATTAAATATTCTCTTTTAAAATAATTTGTGGGATGATCATAATAAACCAAGGGATAACATATCACATTCAAAATATTATTTATTTGTTTTATTAAGAGAAACTTGTGAAAATTGTCTTTACTCAGTTTCCAATTTTTATAGATACAAATAACTCTTATGGATTCTTTGGCCAACAGCCTGTCACAACAGTGGCAACTACAAAATCTATGGTATTTTTTCTTTTGTTATAACAATTTTATTTATTGGAAAACTTGAAAACATAAAATGATATTTTTTAAGCCATCGAGTGCACCCACACCCACGCAACCTGAAAATAATACAGAGGCATCAGTTTCAAAGCCTGCACAAGCAATGCCACAAAAAACAGAAGGTTAGTTTTCAATTATTGTACTGTTTACAATATTCAAAATCCATAATAAAATTCTAGACCCGGTCGAAAGTAAAAAAGCCAGTGCTGAAGCTTTGGAAAAAGAGAAAAGAGAGAAAGAAAAGGCGATAGTTGATTCATTGATAAAAGAAAGTAAATCAGTTGAGAATGAATTCAATGATTTCAAAAAGAAAATCGCCAAATTCGACCTCACCCCTGGCGATGAATCTGTGCTGATATCTATTCCAAATAAAGTCGCAGATTTAGAATTATTTGAAAAAGACTTAAGCGAGACCACTTCAACCCAGTCATCTGAAGTAAACGTTCTTAGATGCAGCCTTGTAGAAATATACGGTTGGGTTGAAAACATCAAGGCAAAAGACAGACAAGTTAAAAGTCAAAGGTTTGTTTCATGTTTTGTTTTTATAATGTATCATTAATAAGATTATTTTAATTGTTAGATATCTAGACTGTCTTGAATCACAAGCTTTAGACCCAATAGTAAAAAGACACTTAAGAAGCATCGAACAGCAAATGCATTTTTTTGAATCCCAAGTGAAACAAGTAACAGCCAGCCTCGACAGCCTGTGGTCAAACTACAAGTCTAAAAACAAGTACACTATTATTTTCAATGCTGTTTTATTCAAAATCTCGATATCTACATTTTTTTATTTTCTTAGAAATACCATCGATGTGCCTAATCTAGAATCAATTTACGAGGCTATTGTAAATCAAACATATATTCTAGCAGTACAAAAGAATATAGTCAGTGAACTCCAAAACAAAATAAAACAAGTTTTAAGGAACAAAACAATAGTACCACAAGTTATAGAGTACTCTTCACCGAGTTACAATTCTAAAACTGGGTAATGCCTGAGCTTAAAATTTTAGTATCATTGTGAAATTAATTGTAGAAATTTGTTTCTAGGGGATCAGATTTAGATATACTAGCAGATAAATTACTTCACACAAAAATAAATAATAAATCACCTAGTAAGTCTTTTAAAGAGACATCATATCGTTACATAGTTTTGGCAAATGCTAAAAAACATCTGAGCTCTTCTAAGGAGAATATTTTGATACAGTGGCACAAGTCGCATAAAGTGATAAGTACTAAGGCAGCTAAGCCGTATAGTTTCAGTGATGAAGATGAAGAATTATATAAATCTCCATTAAGTCCAGTTAGCATTGTCGAAAAAGTAACAACACCTACTAAAGAAGAGTCTCCAGCAGTGCAAGAGCCTGTTCAACAAAAGCCAATTACAAGTAAAAGCCCGTTTACGTTGAGTGGTAAAACAAGTTCAGCTCCTTCTAGTAATTTATCAAGTTTACAATTTGCCTATTCTACAGTGACAAAAGCGCCGAGTGTACCTGTTGTAAAGGAAAGTACAAAATCTACTGCTATTTCAACTGCTGCAATCTCTACAGCTTTTCCAACTTCTACCTTCACTGTTTCTGAAATGGGTAAAAATTCTTTTGGAACCGATGTTCAAATTACAAAGGCTCCTCCTAAAACAAGTGCCTCTCCTGTCAGTAATGTGATCATGTATGAAGAAGTGTCAAACACAACTCCAGTAAAACCAACCAAGACGGTTAGCTTGAGCCAGTTCACAAATTCTACAATTTTTGGCGGATCCCAAGATGTTTCCTCTTCACTGACTTCAAGCTGGCTCTCTGCTTCAGGAAGTGCATTTAAATTACCTACTTCATCAACTGCAACAACAACAACTTCAGCTACAAGTCAACCTACATCCCAGCCGTTTGCCCAGTTTGCTTTAACGAACACTCAGGTTTCACTTGGTGCACCGGCAAAAACTGAATCATCGACAAATATTAAAACGTCTGTCGCTGCAGCTACTACTTCTACTTCACTTGCGACACCCACCACCAGAGTTGAAAATACTTCAGTTGTCAATCCGTCAACAGAAGCTTCAAGTATTTTTGGCAGTAATTCTTCCTTCTCTTTATTATCATTGGGAGGATCTGCATTTAGTTTTCCTAGTTTGTCCTCAACTCCTAGCACTACTTCAACAAAACTTACAACTGCTGCTGAGACTACAGTAAACAGTAAATCCACAAATGTTGCACCAACTGCCAAACCTGCAGCTTCCGATGTGTCCTTTGATCAGTCAAAATTTTCACCAATTTCATTTAGTGAAACATCTGTGTCAACTGCACCAACTTCAGTTTCATTAATGCCGTCATTAATTACAACTGAAACCCAAGTTGTTTCTTTTACGACAACGCCCCAAGAACAAAGTAAAGTCACATCAACATCATCAGTGATGACGACTGGCACAACTTCAACTACGAATATTAGTACAACAAAGAGTATATTTCCTATTCTGAGCACTGCAGCCACAACTTCTACAACTACAGCACCATCCCTTTTTGGTTCCACTTCATTTTCATCTCCTTCTTTTTTCTCCAATTCATCAACAGCAAATGTTTTTGGTGGAAGTAGTATTTTTGGTACTTCTGCATCGTCTCTTCCTACTGCAACAACAGTTTCAACTGTTTCGACTGCATCATCTTTGTTTGGCGGGACGACTTCCTCTATAACATTTGGATCACCAGTCACTACCACTAGTTCAACCACCACATCAGTCAGCCAGCAATCAGTATTCAATATGTCGTCTCCTTCGAGTCAGCCCTCGATCTTCGGCGGAACACCAGCAACTACAAGTGCATCAGTGTTTGGCTCGTCAAACATGACAACTCCAGTTTTTGGATCTCCAGCAACAACATCCACTTCGATATTCGGATCCCCAATTAGTACTCCTTTGTTCGGTACACCGTCAACTACCACAACCTCCAGTATCCAACCCATTTTTGGAGGAACGCCATCAACTACTTCATCTTTATTTGGAAGCCCTGTTACCGCTGTTACAACTTCAACAACTTTATTTGGAAGCCCTGCTACCGCTGTTACAACTTCAACATCTTTATTTGGAAGCCCCGCTACCGCTGTTACAACTTCAACGTCTTTATTTGGAAGCCCTGCTACCACTGTTACAACTTCAACATCTTTATTCGGAAGCCCTGCTACTGCCGTTACGACTTCAGCATCTGTATTCGGTGCAGCACAAGCATTAGGGTCAACATCATTTTTCAGCACACCATCCACAATTGGAAATGCATTTATGAACCAGCCTCAGTCACCACAGCCTTTTGGCGGAGCACAACCACAAACGACAAGTTCATTTAATACACCTTTTTTCCAAAAGTCAACACCGACGACAAATGTTTTTGGAGCTCCAGCATTTGGGCAAAATGCAGCTATTACAGCCTCTTCGATGTTTACAGGGACTTCTACTTTCAAGCAGACCTCAGAAAACATTTTTGGAAATGCCACAACGTAAGTTAAATTAAAATATGTCTACAGTTTTTATTATAATTTTTATTTTTATTTCAGACCTAACAAGTTTGCAACAAATTCAGGATCTATATTTGGTGGAAGTTCTTTTAGCTCACCAACTCAACAACCTACATTTTCCAGTGGTAAATTTGTTTTGGAAGTTTTAGTTTATCTTGATGAAAACAAACAACAGTGCAATTTTTGATATATTTTTTTAAATTAATTAATAAATTTTTTAAGGTCAGACTGGTGGTCTTTTTGGTTCTTCTAATGCCTTCTCCAATGTTGGACAACCAAACGTTTCACAATCAGGTTTTGGATCACAACGTAAGTGTTTAAAAAACAATGTCAAGTACACCACTTATTTATAATTTTTGTGCTAGCAACTTTCGGCTCAAGCGGAACGTCTATATTCGGCGGGCAGACCACATTTGGAACCGCACCAACTTTCGGCAGTTCTGCCACTTTTGGCAGCCCTAAAAAGGTTTTCGGTGATGCCGCACCCAAATCAACGTTTGGATCTCCGACTCAGCAATCATCCACCTTTGAAAATCTAGCTGGTCAAAACACGCTCACGTTCGGCAACCTGGCCCAGAACCAGGGTGGCTTCAATTCTACATTCGGAAACGCTTCTCCTACCCAGCAACCGGCATTCCCTGCTACAACATTTGGGTACAAAAATTCATTACCTTCTTTTATCATCTAACAGAAATATATTGATTGGTCTATATGTTTTACAGAGGAAGCTCATTCAGCAATTGGAGATAAAGTTACTGCAGTTTTTTCAACGTTTAAGGAATTGTAAATCCAAAATGTTATTTATAAACAATCTATACTTAAATACAAGCTATCTCTTTTACCTTAAAATTAATTGTACCTTATCAGTTATTGTTAATTAATAAATAATTTTTTACTCATTTTTTAAATTTAATTGTCATTAGTAACATGACTGTAAAATATACATTATCAAACTGTTTCTTTCCTTAATTAATTATAAAGGATTAACATAAATAAAGTTATAGTATACATATTTTGTACAGTGTCTCCAATAATATTCATAAATTCTGTTTTTACAGTTCTTGCATTTTTTCTTACCTTATTAATGTTTTTTATAATTAAAAAAATTTAAACATTATTTTTGAAAATGTAAGAGAAATGGTTACAAAAATGGACAATTTCACTATAGTAAGAGGAAGTTACCAAATACCCGGATCCTATCCTTTACTGTGGCCTATATAAATATAGCAAGTAACATATCTTAGTCCCATGTCGTGCTTTATAGCATTGGTGTGACATTTATCGGCAAAAGTGGTACAGTTGTTATAATTCAATTAATTACGGTTTTTAGTTGAGATAAAAAAAGTCAGTGTCACAAGCGGGATTCGAACCCACAACCTTCGGCTTGATTTTATCTCAACTAAAAACCTTAATTAATTGAATGATATTAATTGGCCAAGCGGACCACAAAAAATAGTGAATTTAATGAATTAAAATGAAGTATACTTCACTGAAGCTCTCCGTGGCCATTTCACTTGTCGCCGAGAATCAAATAGATTACACGACATTTGAAAAATGGCAAAAAGGAGGGAAAATTCAAAAGGTGGGGTTGAGATGGGAAGTTAGTGTCCAAGTGGATCAAAGTCACGTAGCTCAAGTGGTAGAGTAGCGGCGTATCTAGCCGAAGGTCGTGGGTTCGAATCTCGCTCTGACACTGACTTTTTATCATTTTAATCATTTTTAGGGCCTATCATTTTAATTTCACATTATGATAAACAATTACTAAATTAATTGTACAATATGTTTTATGTAATATGAAATTAATATAAGACCTGATGATGACCTTAAAATAAGTCGAAAGCTTGGCAGTAACAATTGAATTTACTTTTCTCTACAAGACCATACGTTGATCTAGCGAGTTCATGGATTATTGTAGTTTCATTTCTTTTACTTTTATAACGTTCTTAATATTTGTGGTGATTAATGACCGTTAATCTATAATTATTCAGAAATCGTGAGATGCAGTCTGGTGTGATGTAGGTTTCAGAAAAACATTTTCTTTATCGTGCCAACGTTTCTATCTTTATTGAGATCATCTCTAGAAATACTTTTGATTGAATATAAAAAAATATATTTTGCATTGTATAAATTCACTTTTTTCCACATTCTACATGTATTTGTAAAATTTAAACAATGTTTGTAAATCCCAGGCCCCAAAGATCTCAATGAAGATCGAAACGGCATGATAAAGAAAATATTTTTCTGAAACCTACATCACACCAGACCGCATCTCACGATTCTAAATAATTATTCTTAATATTATTGTTTCATAATTTTTTAACAATTTTGTCTTTTGGCCTTTTCATTATTTTAAGTTTCAACAATTTTTTTTAAATGTTTTAATTACAATGTTTTTAATACTCAATAAAACCTTTATTTCAATAACTAAGTTTGTATTTCAAATAACTAATTAGTCCTGACTCCAGGAGGAAAGCACATTTGGGTCAAAAATAATCTTAAATCATCTTACTACATGGATATTTATGCTCATTTGTTAGGTAGTGTTACTATCACAAAAAAATTAATACCCTTACAGACATTCAATGACCACCAGTCTATACTTCTATAGCAAACAAACTAACTTAAATTACTAAGAGCAAATATATGCAAGAAAAGTGTCCCAACTCAAAAAGAGGCAGTTTTTTATAGGTTGTACAGTTGGATTTTTAACGTTTGGTTTTTCACTTAAGTCTTGGACAAACAGAAGATATTGATGGATCATGGCAGTTTTTATTGCCAACAACCGTAATGTCGTGTACTTAATATATACGTCAAAAACTAAACTTCCGTAAACTTGAAAAAGTAAGCATGCAATAATGTACATAGTCCTTCTGTTTCAGTCAGCATGTTGATTTCTCTGCTCAGCTCATCTTCTTAGGTGGTAGATAGAGAGATAGAGGTAGAGGGCAAGACCTATTGTTTCTCAAATCCTGCCTGCTGATAGAGTAGTTCCTTTACCTTCCTTTTTGAGAGATTTATAAATCTCTTAGCTTGTCTGGATCGTATGAACAATTTTTTACCTGTTTAGACCAAAGTGAACTGAAGAAGAGAAGAATTTGAGAAACGAAACATTATGCATTAGAAAGGTACATTGAAACAGAGTCCCGCGGGTAATCACGGATAAAAGCTAGTCAATATATAAAATTTTTCTTTTTATGTAAGGTCTAGGCTGAGATGAAAAAATGTCACGAATGGGATTCAAACCCACGGCCTTCGGCTCAACACACCGCTGTTCTAACCACTTGAGCTATTGTGACTTCTATCTATGTGGACACCAACTCCCAATCTCAACCAAGACTTTAAATAAAAAGAATAATTAATTGAAACAAGTAATTTGGTCAATTAGACCACTAAACATAACTGGATTAAAATAATTCTTTCAGTACTGATTTTCTATGGACAATATGTGAGCTATTAGCAAAATTATAGTAGATGTATGTATATGCGCCTAGCGTTACAAATAAATTATTAAAATTCAACTTCTTAAGATAAGTTTTCTTTCAAAAATGGCTATTTCACTGTTGACAGTACCTTTAGTACAGACAGCAGTTGGGTGGAGAACAAAAGGCCAGCCTGTGTGCTGACTGTCCTAAGACCCTAATAATATAATTACCTAATAATAAATTAAATAAAGATTCTAAAAAACTGATTTTGTTTTACATTACCATATCAGTCTACAGTCTAATCTTACAAAGAAGATAATTCTATGAATAAATAAATTTGAAAAAAGAAGGGTTTAAAAACAAACAAGAAGTTTTATAATTTAAAAAAATATAATATCAACCTGAAGTTGTTCTCAATACAAATTTAATAACTATATTTATAGCGTGTCTCTTTTCTTTTGGGCCCAACCCTGAATCCGAGAACCAAAAACAAGGTCCCAGATCAGGTTTTTCATGATCAGATCCGACTACGTTAATTTAATCTATTGATCACGCACCTTTTTTTGATAAATTAATTTCCAATATTCAATACAAACCGAAATAGATACAAGATCAAAATATTAGGAAAATTTAAAATCTTTTATTATAATTTATTTCAAAATAAATTGTAAAATATTTATTGTGTAATGTGGGGCATGGCGGTACATTTAAGTTTAAGTCCTCAGAGCTATCGCTATGCCCTTTCTGTCCTCTGTGGGTTCAAAATGTTGGTCAAAAATTAATAATAATAATAATTTCCTTTACTTTTACTATTCTTTATAAAATGAGAATTAAATTTGATTTTAAAATTGATGTTTGTAGATTTTGAAATAGGTTTTAATATAAAATAAAAAGATTCTTTAAATTAAAAATAATGAATAATAGAAGAAATTGTAATTTTATTTCAAAATAAATTGTAATAAAAGCTTTAAATTTTCCTAATATTTTGGTTTGTATTGAATATTGGAAATTCATATATCAAAAAAGGGTGCCTGATCGATAGAATAAATTATTGTAATCAGGTACGATCGTAAAAACCTCTGGGACCTTGTTTTCGGTTTTCCGAATTCAGGGTTGGACCAAAAAGAAAACAGTCACGCTATATGTACATTAATTTCTGTATTGTGGTATAACAGTGCATTGATTTAAAATTATTTCTCAATTGAAAATGTATAAAAATAAAAAATATATAATGCTATAAATAAAGCACTATGTACGCAATTTTTTTCTCTTTTTTTGTGGTTGAAGTTCATCACAATCGGTGTCTTTTTTCTGTTTTGTACCATCGATATCTTCATCCAACATTACATCTAACTCTTCTTCGGAATCTGAGAAATCGTGCTTTTTCGATTTGCTGTCTTCACTCTTTTCATCTTCCTCAGACTCCTCCGTGTCTGACATAGCACTATCTTCACTCTCATCGTCGCTTTTAGCTGGTTGGTCCTTCCTGTTATTTCCTTTCTGTTTTGTAGCACTTTTTTCAGCTTGTTTTTTCGCATAAAAGTCTATAATCTTTAACAATGACAAAAAAAAATTGTAAAGTGTATAAAATTTAAAAATAACCACATTCAAATTTATTTCAATTTATTATTTGCTTTAATGGGGGCAAACCATATTGCAGGGGATGACTTTAATAATAAAACATATGATATGAGGCTTCCATAATTAGAAATTATCTCCAGCCTCGTCCCTATTATAGTGGATTTTTTTTTTTTTTTTTTTTTTTACCTTATGATCTATGCATATTAACCATGGTGACGAATTCTTATATCTGTGTTCATATTGGGGGGGGGGGTTATCGTGAAAAAAAGGCCAGAGGCGACAGTGGGAATCGAACCCACGACCACGGCGTTTATGAGCCGAGAGTCTTTCACGCTAACCACTTGGATACCGCGGTCCCCAATTCACGACGTTTAGGCTACCCATAAAAAATAAATGTGATGTGATGTCACTACAGCTGAATTGACAAGTACACAACTAGCCAACAAATGTAGCTAGTAGCAAAGAGAGGATAATAAAGCAGAAAATAAATAACACTAGACTAGTACAATCCCCCCATTTAACAACTGCTTCATGCCATTAAAGCAAGTTGTCATAGGTTATGGGAACAAACACATTATCTACTTTATAAATATGGTAATACGTGATACCCAAGAGCAACTGATGACGGCCAAAGAGAGGGCTGGAAACAGAGAAAAGAATTTGTCAACATACTACCAATAGCAGTAGGGAACTAATATGTGATTTCTGAGCAGGAGAAGCAGAAATATTTTTTAAAAATGTTCATAAAACATTAAAACTTGTTAAATTCACTAGTTTCGTGGTCCGCTTGACCAATTAATATCTTACAATTAATTAAGGTTTTTAGTTGAGATAAAAAAGTCAATAGCATGAGCGGGATTCGAACCCACGATCTTCGGCTAGATACACCGCTGCTCTACCACTTGAGCTATCGTGACCTCGATCCACTTGGACACAAACTTCCCATCTCAACCCCACCTTTTGAATTTTCCCTCCTTTTTGCCATTTTTCAAATGTCGTGTAATTGTATTTTTTATCTCAACTAAAAACCTTAATTAATTGTAATATATTAATTGGTCAAGAGGACCACGAAATTAGTGAATTTAATGATTTAAAATAAAGTATACTTCACTAAAAACAAAACAAAAAAAAAACCACCATCTAAAATAACCTTTACTTATGACTGTACATCTCTTTACTCAACGTTCTTCACTCTGTGCAGGTTAAAACACTACCAAGAAATTCCCTATCTCCAAGCACCTTTACTATGGATACCAGGAACTGGAGGAGTTCCCTCCTGAGCACCTCAGCTGTACAGCTTATTGTACTTTATCCCATTTCTCGCAACAAAAGTGTGAATTTGATATTCCATCGAAGAAACTCATTTTTGAAGGGGGTTGGGTCCAAATTCAGGGTCGCTGAGATCTGTCCCGCTCCTTCCATTGATGAGTGCCGTGTCAATTTCTTTTAATTGCGGCCACCGGTCCTCTCAGGCATCAGAAAAAGTCCAGAGGCGACGGTGGGGATCAAATCCACAACTGCGGGATCTACTAGCCGACTTGTGAAGAACCATTTTCACGTTGGCGGGGGTTTCAACGGGTTCACTTTTGCAATTCATGTTGAAAGACATGGTTGTAGAATCCCTTCAACCTGATGATGAGCTAAAGGGCTTGAAATCCGGATTGTTGCGAAACAACTTATTGTGAGGAGGAACCATCTTTTTAAAAACGCGTGAACTCCACTCCACTCCATCATTTATAATTTCTCCACAGAAAGTCGTTGCTCGCTCAAAAACACTTTTCTATCCCACTTAATTAAACTTCGACAGGGCGGATGTAGAAAAGTTTGATGAATAAGGATCTTCACAAAAAACGTTCTTGTATCTAAGCCTTATGATTCAATTATTGTAATATTAATATTCAATCATCATAAAAATTATTGTTAGTACTATAATGTCATTTACTTATTCCTCAACATAATTATTATCTTAGGTTTTAGGTTTCATTTGCTTGAAAAAAGGTTTCATTTGCTTGGAAAAATAGTTTCATTTGCTTGGAAGATTTCATTTGACTGAAAAAAAAGTTTCATATGGTTGAAAAATGCTATATATGCCTATGTTGTGAAGATGTTTTCTCAGATGCCAGTGACGGGTTAGTAGTCCTACCACTCCTCTGAATTTAGCCCTCTCCAATTGCAGCAGTGATTTTGCCTGTCTTGGTGAGGGTTGTTTCATCTTAAGCTTACTGTGTCTAGCACTGCTATAGTTTATCCACTTCTCCTTTTGTTTTGTTTGGATCCATTCTGCGATGAAGGATTCTATATTTGTTTGGTTATCCCAAGAATAGGTTCAGGGCCTATGTATGGTCAGGACCAGGCTGTCTGCTTTCTCATTACCCGTAATTCCTCTGTACCCTGACCCAATATATCATCAGGTTGCTGTGTTTCCCCAGGTTTTGGAGATTTTGGTTGCATTCACTGACTAATTTTGATGTGATATTTTTTAAACATTAACATCAAGAATGTTTCCGGGATCATATAGTCAGTCCCCATTTCTAAGAATGGGTGTCTGAAGCTCAGGGAACTTCTCACGATCAAAGAAAGAAAAACATGGTGTATGGAACATGTGAAGTGTGAGCCCATTGTGAATTGCCCAGGTTAACAATGGAGGACAAAATATTGTAAGGAAGCAGTACTCTTGGCTGAATGCATACAATAATCACACTGAAGACTGTAACTATGAAAGAGCACCAAAATAAGAATCAGCCATAAACTAACCAACACTTATGGACCAGGGATGAAAGCTATCAGCCATCGCTGAGATAAAAAGAAAGAGCTTGAAATTAATGAGTATAGATAATGGACAGCATCTTCAAAAGCAGTTTCAAGTTATGCATTTTTTACATAAAAGTAAAACTATATAACAAGCTTGTCAAATAGAGTTATTAAATAAAAAATAAATTGTAAATAGAATTATTTGGCTACCTCGTTTTCTTTCTTTTTCCAAACGTCTTTATTAGAATCGAGTTTGGTTTTTAATATTTGGTCAAACGTAGCAGGGTCTTTTTGTCCTTCAACAATATAACTGACTAATATGTGATAATCATCCAATTGTCTTCTAATTTTTAATTTCTTTCCAAAATCAGTAAAAATTTGTTGCGCTGCAAAACATACAAAATATACATAATTTTTAATTATAAAAAATAAAACAACTTTGATCATGAAAATATTTAAATAATTACCAATCTCATAAGTTTCAGGGGAAGAAAGACTTAGTTTATTTTCTTCATTGACTTTGTTTGTAATTTTTAACACATCTTTAAAATTTGGAAATTTCCTTGTCATATTGTAATATTTCTCTAATGCCCTTTGAACTTGAACTGGCCCTTTGCCAGAGTATGTGAACCTCTGAAGATATTGACGATCAGCATGCGGTGCCTTTTCTTCGAGTCGACATATTTTCTCATAAACCTGACTAGCCTTTGCTCTGTACCTGCCAAGAAGGACATAAGGGTTTTCCATCTCGTCATCTGATTCAACTTCCATCTCTTCCAATTTGTCTATCCTTTTTTTCAATTTCTGCAACAATTTCACTGAATTTTATACAAGAAATATAAATAATTTCAGTTTTTCTAAAGCATACTTTCAACTTACATGAAATAAACTGTACAAAAAGTGTAGTTTTTTATTCACCTAAAGCATATAAATTTGAAATTATCAATATCACAAGAAACAAATAAATAAAAATTAGACAATTTACCAGCAGCTCATCACTTTTCAATTCATTTAGCACTTGTTTTATTTTTTCTATAATTATAAATTTGTCTTCTCTTTCTAAATCTCCGCGTTTAACAATAGCATCAATCTCTTTATTTATTTTTCTCAAGAAATTAATTATTTTTTCACTTTTCATTGTTTCTTTAGAAACTATTGAAGCATATTTTGTGATTTTGTGCTCAATCTTTCTTATTATCTCATCACCTAGGTCTAACTTTTTACAAGAGTCGACAATCTGAAAATTTGAACCAATTGTTTTGAATTAACATGTCAACATTTATGTAAAACAATACTTACATTGTCAAGTAAATTAAAGCCAATTTGGCTTGTATTGATATCAGAAGCATTTTCACACGTTGACTGTTCATCGTCATTAAAAAAAAAAATACATATGTAAATATGTTATTTTAAAATATATATACAGCAAAAGTAGTAAATAAATTTATCTTACTCTGGTTTCAGTTGAAGAACATGGTTCATCTAAATTTTTATCTTCTTTCTTTTTATCATTTGAAACGTCATTACTTGGTCTCAAGTTTAAATGCTTTTTTTCATCCTTAACAATATAGAATGTATTTCATTAAACATAATTTTTATGATAAACTACACTGATGGATAAATTTAATGCACCCCTCAATTTATTTAGTTTAAAATTAAATTAAAAAATTAGTGCAAGTCGCCAGGAGACTGAGTGTAAATCACTGCATAATAGGGAGGGTTCGTCGGCATTTCAGAGATACAGGGCTTCACACTAGAAAGCCAGGACAGGGTCTACCTAGGTCTACAGACGAGAGAGATGATAGATTCATCGGTCATCAGGCTCTACAAAACCGCAGCATTACAGGAAATGAGATAAAAAATTTGATAAGACAAGTCTGAAATGTATTGATTTCATCCAGTACTGTATGAAGAAGACTCAATGAAAATAACCACGGGGTCTGGGAACCCGGCACATGGACCTCTTCTTACTATAGCTCAGAAAATGGCCAGGCCTCAGTTCGCACGGGAACAAATGAATTGGACATAGGACGATTGGGACGAGTTCTCTTTGAGATGAGGTGAGAGTTGGCCTCAAATCTTCAGATGGGTGTAATTTAATATAGAGATGCTCAGGAGAAAGGTAAGCTCCATGCAGTATGGTTCCAGGTGGCATTCCTTGGCGGGTCATTGATGATCTTGGGTGGTGTTTGCTTGGACACCCGCTCCGAATTGGTTGTTGCACAAGGAAGATCTTCACGTATGTACTTATAACACATAATCTAAGAACATGTAGTGCCTACAATGTGCCCACAACAGTGAGAGATTTTTGCTGACAGGCCCCATAGAGCACATATTGTTGATGACTACCTGAATGAGGTTGAAATTGAGTGCTTGGTGTGCCAGTTCGAACTCCAGATATGAACCCAATTGAACACATTTGGGACCAACGTAAGCAACGAGTACGATGGCAAAGCCCAGGATCTAACACCCTAGAAGTGTTGGAACGGCTGTTATTGATGAATGGGAGTATTCCTCTTTTATTTATTTATTTTAAATCACAAATCTTTTTCATGAAATGCAAAGGCATAACGGACATGATTCGTGCCAGAGGTGGAACTACTTGGTATTAAAAAGGAAAAAATGTTTTTTTTCTTCATTTTTATTTGTTTTTAAGTTTTCTTTCTTCATTGTTATTATTTTTTTTTTAAATGTACCTTTTTATACCAAGAATACCAAGTATAAAGGAAACAATTTTTTTTCTTTGTTATTTGTGTAAATTTTCTGCTTTTTTCGTTTTTCTTTACTCAATAATTTTTAAAAAAAATTTTTTTTAAGAATTAGGTAATATTTTCTTTTTAAATATCTTATTTTTACAACTAAAACTAGTTTGTTTTTGTTTGTTTTTATTTGCTTAGCTTTTCACACTGATATGATAGAACGCTTCGGACCTCTCCTAAAACTAGTCAGATATGCAAAATATTAATAAACCTCAATACATTAATATTAAGGGTGGTGCATTTATTTTGTCCATCAATGTATTAACTATTGCTTAATCATTGTGGTAAAAAAATTTAATTACAATCTATAGAAAGAAGACGCAAAATGGTTCAATGTATGTTTTGCAAAACAATATAAAAATGGTCCTAAAAATAAAAAATAAAGTAATAACGAAACTTACCATCTTTAACTCATCTTGAATTTTTTTCATTTCATTTTCATCAATTTTTAATGGATCTTCTGGAATGGGTGACCCTGATTTGTGACTAGGTTCCTCAGTACATTTTAAAATGTTATTTCTTATAATGTTAACAACTTCAATTTTGTCATCACTTTCGGTATCGTCGTCATCAATTATCTGTATGAAATCAACCCTCCTAGGAACTTTTGTAGCAATCTGCCCCTTCAAAGAACAAAGTGTATAACTATTATTGTTTAATATGTATTGAAACATTTATTTACTAATTAGTTATTAACAATCAGCACTTGATAATTATGTATTGTTATATTGTGTGTGTGTGTGTGTGTGTGTGTGCACGTACGTGTGTGTCTTCTGTTTGAATTAGAGTAGTATCAATTAAATCATTCCAAGCACTATGAACTAAAGTAGCACTTTGAACACAGTGAGCCATGGTAAGTATAAGTACCAGCCATTACATTGAATGAACAAAAGCCTGCAAAATTGCTACACTAATAAAGAATAGAATTTGGGGAAATGTGTGTAAACTGGGAAAACGTATGCAATTATTTCATCTTCAAGTTCAAAGAAACACCAGCTGTGTTAGCAGGGGGATTCTGTCTCCTGCTGAGATCAGCTCTGGTTGATCAACATCTAATCAAACTAATACACAAGAGCATCCTGGTTTGGTTATCCAGACGATCTCGGTGCATTTATTAGAGGACAGCACGTCACAAATGAGTCCAATATGCTTTAACATTGTTGAAGTGTGTAATAAACGAGAAGAAAATAATGTCCTGACCCTTGCCTAGTCATTCAGTACATAGGGATAATGAGAAGGCCGACATTAACCAAGTCAATTATGAATACTTCTGGCCCCCTATTTGTAGCCTAGCCAGTTGTTTTTAATGTGCTAAACCAACTATATTTAATGTGTTCCTTTGTGTGGCTAGACACATAAAAAATAGTATGCTTTGAGTTCAAATTCTAGTGGATGAACACCTCAGGGATGAGACACCAGGGAGATTCATAGAAATAATTACTGTAGGACAACTGAAATAAAACTAGGATTCTGGTTTCCTGCCTGGACACTGCCAGATTTATGAACTAGATAGATCATAAGAAACAGTTGCTGATTTTGTCAGAAAGAGGAAGAGACAGAACACAATCTGTGTGTGAGGATATATTCACGAACATTTTGCTGCTTGGTGAGAAAGCACTACTTGGAAACCACTTAGAGCGATGGTTAGAGCAGTGGCGTATTGAGCCGAAGATCGTGGGTTCGAATCTACTCATGATAGCTTTTTCATCTCAACCATGACCTTAGATTAAAAGTATCGTAAGACAGTCCTTAACAGTTGCAGTGGTTAAAATAAGGGAAAAAAATAAAACGACCACAGAAAAAAGGCTGTAAATCAGAAGGGGCAAACACCTGATATGGAACAATGTGTCACCCCACACCAATCTGGGAAACATAACTCTGCAATAATTAAGCAGTTTGTCGAAGGGTGTTACCATGGGATGTTTCCCACAAACCTGGAAAACATAAGTTTCAATAGTTTGATAACTAACATTAAGTTATTTAGTGTTGAAGGGTTGTCACAAGGCCGAAAATATATAGCGATGCTGGACATCATAAATCAGGGTCGTGTCAACCAAGTGTGGGGCACCCATCTTCACCAGTCCACCCGCAGCGTGGGAACTTCCCGATTTTTTACTTTTCTTTCCACCCCTAAAAAAAGGATGATTTGGAAATCAAACATCAGTCTAGTCCTATGGCTCAGACGTTCTAGACTAAAGAAGCAAACCAGTGAATCAAAGACTCACCAGGCAGTGAACTCCAGGAGTCAATCTGGAAGAGAAGCAGCCACACTTCTGGGTCTCAGCCAGCCAGAGCCAGCGAGGATTAGCCATTGCGATTCATTGGATCATGCTAGAGGTCGAGATACAGGATACTGAGGATGCCCCAGATTGTGGCGAGTGTCGTTTTGGATAAGTCCCTTTGTTAACACTCATCCCAGATTTAGAGTTGTGCTTACTTGTTAAATGAATTAAAATTTTGTGTTGATTTGAGTTAAAATAAAAATGGAATTGTGTTAAAATTAAGGTTTAAGAATATGCTCTCTGGTTTATTGAATTCAAAAACCTTACCTTCCCCCGTATAAGAATAAGTAGCAAAGCTCTTACTCTAACTACTCTCCAATCACTTAGAGAAAACGAAGATAGAGTGTTCAAACCATCTTACAGTATAATTAATAAAGTATTGCAAATGATACCTTATATGAACAGGGAGAACCTAGTCACACTAAGTCTAACTGGCAGGTCGTTTAAACCTTGCTAATTATTCAATTGACTGTTTTTATTGGCTGATTTGTAAATATAATTATTTCACAGTAAAGAATTACTTAATGGTTAAAATTTATTTATAATACAAATAGAATGTATACATTTCAAAATGGAGTTTGTAAACATGTTATTCTGTGTATCAATAGCAAGTGAGTTCTTATTATTCATTTTTTATTCTCAACATGTAGTAGTACATAAAAAAAGATCAAAGAACATACTTTTATTTTCAATTTGTTGTTCAAATTGTCATTCTTATTCGTCAATGGTTCTTTCTCTTCCAAAAGAGTGACCTGCGGTGTGAGCAATTTGACATCGATCTCGTTGACACGTTTGGTCCGTTCGAGTTTCTTTTCGCCTACAAACTGGAAAAAATTTCATCGTTTAAGAAGAAAGAAAGGCGGGAATAGAAGAAGTGCGGAGAGCTAATGGGAAATTAGGGAGAGATTTGAAACTGACCTCGATCTCGCTTTCCTCCGAGTCCGAGCTGATGGTGATGCACTCCATGTTCCCAGGACGCGAATATGGATAAATGTAAACAATTGAAAACAAACCTAAACTATCTAATTATGAATAACAACTTACAAAACGGTTACACAGGGTAAGGTGGAAACTTGCCTACTTATGTAACCTAACTTTTATCAGCGATGACAATACATGACGTCACGGTTTGCTTTGGTGAACTACCTGTACCCGACAAAGTTCCATGTGCATATATAACTTTTTTGTAGGTTAATGACAGACAAAAGAATAATATTAAACAATTAAAATATTAAACACTTTTTTTTTAATTCAGCAGGGCCACCTAAAAAGGACACCCTTTGTATATAAAACACTTCATTTTTATATTTCCCTTACATTTGTTGTCCTCCACAATAATTAATTTTTACAATTTTGGGGGTCAAGATTGGGGATTTACAAATCCAATCAGAAAATCCCCAATCTCGATTTCCTTTGGGTCAAATAAAACCGTCAATGAGCAAAACAAAATCCCAGATTTATCGCGTTCCCCACCCTACATAATACCACAAGAATCGCACCACACCTCATGTGTATTTGAAATACTTAATTCAAAATTTATATTTAAATCTATATTGTGGTTTTTACAAATCAACATGTTTTGTATTTCATCGAGACCCTGAAGACGACCTGAATAAAGGTCGAAACGCGTAAAAAAAAGAAAAGTGTTTTTCTAGAATACTTCATTCCTGACTTCACCACTTCAACAAATTATTTAACCATTACAATTAATTAAGGTTTTTAGTTGAGATGAAAAAAGGTCAATGGCACGAGCGGGATTCGAACCCCACGATCCTCGGCTAGATACGCCGCTGCTCTACCACCGAGCTATGGCGACCTCGATCCACTCGGACATCAACTTCCTGTCTCAACCACACCTTACGAGCTTTCCCTCCTTTTTTTTCCATCTCAACTAAAAACCTTAATTAATTGTAATGATTTAATTGGTCAAGCGGACCACGAAATTAGTGAATTTAATGAAATTATTTAACTTCTATAAATCATTAACCATAGGATTATTAGCGCATTATATTAAAAGTTAATGAAATGTGTACAAACATAAATGCGAAATAAAAGATTGTTAATTATTTGTATATAGTTGTTAATTTAATATTTGTTTGTAGATTTTTGTTGATAGAGGGTGTGCGATTTGAAAAAGAGCGGGAGGACTTTGAACAGCGCCACCGTCTGCGTCTCCGGCCGTTGGTTCGGCTTTCAGCCAGTCTCGTTGCAACCATGGTGTAGTGTGGTGGTCGTTGTGCGATTGCTGAGCATTTTTAATCCTCTCTTTGCCCAAAAATTGGCTAAATTGTGCTTGTTGATGTGACCTGTGAAGTGAGCCGACTCGTATTTTTGGATTTAGCGGAACAATGAGCTGGGGAACCGAACTTTGGGTGAGCGATTTATACGTTTTACCTCTTGTGTTTTTCCCTTCTTTCTCTTTTTGTTTTCTTTCCTCTACCTTCGTTTTAATTCTGCACTTGAAAACAAGTTTTTCCGTTCGAAGACGGCCGGGGTCGAGAGAATCCCGATAATCTTGGATATTATTTGAGTTCCACTCCGTTAAGACGTCCACTTGCATTTTCCAACACAAACACACATAATTCTTGTTAATATAAACGATTGTTTAGACAATAATAGAAGTCTTTCAAAGATAAACCTACGCTTTTCTTTCAGCTTTAAACAGGTTCCTTCAGATTTGACAGGTTCCACCGAATCGTTTTCCTCGACGGTTTATATTACCTTTCCATATCTATTGGAACTTCTCGTTGCTTTAACAGTTACATACATACAAAACTAGTTACCTTAGCGACAACAAAGCTAGACGAGACACATTGTGCAAGTTGCGACACCCTGTATTAAAACTTAGGAAGAGAAGTTTGGCACAGCTGGGTCAATCTAATGAATATTTGTAGGCACTACTGTAGGATTAGGGCCAAAACTTGCCAAAGATCCCCTCATGCATATTTGTTGTGCTACAAACTATGGTAATACCACAAAAACTCTCAAACATTAACAAGTGTAAAATCATCACATTTAATTGCTACTATCCTTGATATACAAACGTGAGTATTGTTGTGTAAGCACACCTGGATCAAAACCTACCCAATTTTGGTCTACCAAATGACCAACTCAAAAGTAAAACTCCAAATAGTTGCAGTAAAGCTAAATTATGACGAGGAACGTTCTACGACACCCTGTCGTGATAGTTGAAAGTTGGCACAAGCGAGTGAATCAAAAAATCCAATACGTACCAAAAGATAGTTCTTTTGTAGGCACAATGTAGGATTAGGACGAGAAAAACATTCCTCATCTACACTAATAAATGGAAAATCCTCAAACCCATTTGGCACTCATTAATATTAGGTGTGCATACATGAGTATTGTTTTGTAAGTACAACTCGACCAAAATCTACCCAATTTTGGTTTGTCAAGTGACCAACTCAAAAGTAAAACCCCGAATAGTTGCAGCAATGCTAGTATTTTACGAAGGACAGGAGCTCACCGGACGCAATTGTGTAGGATTAGGACCTGTATTTACTGTAGATCAACGTTCCTCTCCTGCACTAGCAATTGTATGATCCTTGCATTTATTTAGTTCGCAAAAATCGTAGACATAAATACAGAGGTATTAGTGTGTTTTGTAGACACCCAATTTTAGGATACTAAATCAACAACGGCTAAAGCAGCAACAATACTAGATTGTACGACATGCTGTACTAGTCAGCATAGTTGTTTTCTTTTGTAGTTAAAACATAATGACTCCAAAACTAACCAAAGTTGCATTCCACTTAGTTTGTTTTATAGTTACAACTATGATAATATGACAAAAACTCACCAACACTAACAGATATAAAATCTTGACATTCAATTGGTTCTCAGTAATCGTAGGTACACATACTTGGGTATTGACTTTGTAGGCATAACTGGCTTACTCAATTCTGGCTTATTGACTAAATTATAAAACATTAAATAACAGCAAGAAGAAGGAACATTGTACGACACGTTGTACTGAGAGAATTCAAAATTTAAAGGCAACAGTTTAGAGTTACTAGATAATACGACAAAAACTCAAATAAAACATCGTTTATGAAATAACATCAAATTGTATTTAATAAAAATAGACATATATTTTGGAGGCAAAATTTCAGGAGTAGGACCAAAACCCACCAATTATTCAGGAGGCCCAACAGTCATAACGTGTCAAAACTCATAAATTTTTTTCTGATAATATCAGGATGAATAAAGTCAAATTGATTGACTATTGGGTACAATGGATTTATATAATTTTTAATCAAACCCTGTAAAATTTGGGATGATTTGTTTTATTTTGTGAAACCCTCGTGTCAATTATGATGATTCGTCACCCTTTATAAAACAGCGAAGGGTTTGGTTTTTGATATAGAACTAAGGGATTAAAACAAAATCTTCCGTAAAATTGGAAGACCGATCTACCATCGTTTTGAGCGCACAACCGAATTTGAAAACCAAAAAAAGTATTAATTATTAAAATGACACTATCAAACCACGTATACGTAAAAATAGCGTACGTATTATATTAACGCGTTTAGATCATGAATTTCATCCAAATTTAATAAACATACGAGGGATTTTTTATTTGGAAATTAATAGTCAACTCCTTCAAACGAGGTTCTTAAAAACAGCATGTATGCTATTCTGTAATGCTCAATTCATTTTTTCTACATACGATCACCTGCCGTGTCTGGAGACATATGACAAAAGATTAAATAAATTAAAAAAAATAAACATAAAAAAAGTTTGTTTTCAGTGCATTTATTACTTAGACATATACATACACAAAATCTAATTAGGCATTGATATTAATGTTTATTAATTGTTATATGGTAGAGACGAAAACGCGTTCTTCATAAGTGATAATTTTATCAGTTATTTTCTTCACATAACGCTCCTTCATATTCTTTAAAATAAAAAAGGTCCCAATCAAAATGTTATCGCCAACGTAATTTCATTTCTCGTTTTTAAATGTATTTATCTATAATTAGAGACAAGATTTCTATTCCTTTAAAAGTCCGGTTTCTTATATTGCGTAATCGTGTTGACCTGAACTTTTGCATTAAAGTTTTGACTGGAAAAGTCAAAAATATAGTGTTTTGAAACTTTTAATGGCCTTGTCTATTTTATTAGACTTGCGTTTTTAGAGATTATCGATATTTTTGGTTTTTTTTTCTTAGCTGGAATAGGCAGACTACGATGATCGCTTGTTCCCTACGATCTAACTGCTGACAAGTTACATAACTGTATCGTTAACAAACTTGACTATTTTACTATTCTTGCTGTATTACTTTCACCCGAAGCAGGAACCTTTTCTAGTTCAGTTAGAAGGAACCTATAGTATTGGATAGGTATTTGGTTTATTTAATCATTTTTTTTTTTTTAAACTGGTCTCTCGTATTAAAATTTGCCAACAACTATTGGTAAAGAGCTAATTGGCAAAACCTGCCCTTCTAATTTCTATATGGGAAATAGTAGCCCTGTTTGAATTTAAGAGGCCAACCTAAAAATACAAAAGTGTTTTGTTTTTCCCCAGCAGATGTTCTTAGTCAAAAAGGTCAAGTGGTCCCCACTTCGCGAAAGCATTCCTCTGCGTGCTTGTGGCCGCTCCAGAAATTCTTAAGCCCGACACGTGTAATTGAAAAACAATCCGGGACAAACGCGAGATGGGTTCGCCATCGAACCGTTCTGGAATTCCTTTCTTCCTTTCGTCATTAACGTCCATCTGGCACGGTCACCGTTCGGAATTATATCTGTAAATAGAGAAAACAATGGCAATTACGCTCGTTCCTAGCACACGGTGGTAATTTTAGAAACGGAGGAATCCACCCTTTAAAAGTCAGGAGGGTGCGTAACCATGGAGAATAAATGCAAATACCTCTACTCGACCCTTCTGTTTCGTCAAAAAGCAACAATCCCTACAGTCGTTTTCCCGTATTTGTAACAATCCAGTTCTTTTTTTAATGAATGGAGTTTGACGAAGGTCATGGAGAATTAGTTGTACACAAGGGTTTTTTTCTTCTCTTAATTTCACTCACTCACTTGATCCGCCTTCACTCGCGGGGT